TGAATGAATCTTAAAATTCTTCTCAGTTCTTCTAAGTAGGCAATGTTAACAAGTAAGTTAATACAGATAGTGGGGGCCAGGCTTCTCACTCTGTGAGAAAGAAAACAGAAATAATCATGAGACCTCTGGTGTTATATAATACAGTCAGACATATCAGTACAAATTAATGTTTATCTTAATATATGTACAGATGTACTCAGAAATAATGTGGAGTAGTCTGTGTGTGTGTTTGTGTAGCACTATGTGCTGTAGGGGCCTAGCTGTAGTTACCCTAGTAACTACCAGCAAATCTACCACCCAGATCTTTACTTCTCATGGTTCTGGAGGCTGGGAAGACCAAGATGAAGTGCTCCTGTTTCAGTTCCTAGGGAAGGCTGTCTTTCTGACTTAAGACAACCTCCTTCTTGCTGTGACCTCACATGAGTTTGTGTATGTTAGTCGCTCAGTCATGTCCGACTCTTTGTAGTCCCATGGTCTGTAGCCCACCAAGCTCCTCTGTCCATGAAATTTTCCAGGCATGAATACTGGAGTGTGTTGCCATGCCCTTCTCCAGGGGCTCTTTCCAAGCTGGGGATCAAACCAGGGTCTCCCATTGCAGGCAGATCCTTTACCCTCTGAGCCACCAGAGAAGCCCTATATGAGTTTATGAGGACATAATTCATTATATAGCATTCATTCAGTTATTTTTTAGCTACTAAAAGCAAGTTATAATGACTAGGTTAATATTAGGCAATCCCTTAACTTCTCAGACTTTAAATAACAGAAGCTATTGTACTGTAACCAACTATATGCAAATAAAGTGGACAAGCTAAAAGAAATGGGAAAATCCTCAGAAAGGTACAATCTCCTATGACTGAACTAGGAGGAAATGGAAAATATGAACAGACCAGTCACAAGAACTGAAATTGAAAGTGACTAAAACACAAAGGTCTAGGACAAGGTGGCTTTACAGCCAGATTCTATCAAACACGCAGAGAAGAGTTAACACCTATCCTTCTGAAACTATTCCAGGAAAATCACAGAGGAAGGAACATTCTCATACTCATTCTGTGAGGCTACCATGACCCAGATACCAAAACCAGATAAGGATACCGCAAAAAGGAAAAATTACACACCAATATCACTGATGAACGAACACAGATGCAAAAATTCTCAACAAAATGCTAACAAACCAAATCCAGCAATACAATAAAAGGATCATACACCATGGTCAAGTGGGTTTTATCCCAGGAATGTAAAGATTTTTCAGTATCCACAAATCAATCAGTGTGATACACCACGTCAGCAAAATTGAAGAATTAAAGACTATATGATCATCTAGAGATACAGAAAAAGCTTTTGACGAAATTCAACATCCATTTATTAATATGACAAAAACTCTCCAAAAAGCAGGCATAGAGAGAACCTATCTCAACCTAATAAAGGCATATACAACAAACCCACAGCTAACATACTCAACAGTGAAAAACTGGCAGCATTTTCTCTTAGATCAAGAAAAAGACAAGGATGTCCACTCACCACTTTTATTGAACATAGTGTTGGAAGGCCTACGCACAGCAGTCAGAGAAGAAATGAATCTAAATTGGAAAAGAAGTAAAACCATCACTGTTTGCAGATGGCATGATCCTGTACATAGAAAATCTTAAAGATGCTACCAGAGAACTACTAGAGCTCATCAGTGAATTTGGTAAAGGTGCAGGGTACAAAATTAATACACAGAAATCTGTTGCATTTCTATATACTAATAATGAAAGATCAGAAAAAGAAAGAAACAATCCCATTTACCATTGCATCAAAAAGAATAATAAAATACCTGGGAATAAACCTACCTACAAAGGCAAAAGACCTGTATTCTGAAAGCGATAAGATGCTGATGAAAAAAAGAGAAGACACAAACAGATGGGAAGATATACCATGTTCTTGGATTGGAGGAACGAGTATTGTCAAAATGACTATACTACCCAATATAATGTATAGATTCGATGCAGTCCCTATCAGATTACCAGTGGCTTTTTTTTTCCTCCCTGGGACATATGGGATCTTACTTCCGAAGTTCAGATATCAAACCCATAGCCCCTGTATTGAAAGTGTGGAGTCTTAACCACTGGACCACCAAGGAAGTCCCACCAATCGCATTTTCACAGAACTGAAACAAAAATTTTTTTAATTTTATGGAGACACAAAAGACCCTGAATACAGCTTAGCAGTCTTGAGAAAGAAAAACAGAGCTGGAGAAATCAGGCTTTCTGACTCTTATTGCACATCTAGAGTCATCAAAAGAGTATGGTACTGGCATAGAAATGGAAATATAACTCAGTGGAACAGGATTGAAAGCCAAGAAATAAACCCTGTGGTCAATTAATGGTCAATTAATCTATGACACAGGAGGCAAGACCATACAATGGAGAAAAGAGAATCTCTTCAATAAATGTGCTGGGAAAACTGGACAGCTACATGTAAAGGATTGAAATTAGACAGTGTCTGACACCATATACAAAAATAAACTGGATTAAAGACCTAAATGTAACACCAGATACTATAAAACTCCCAGAGGATAACATTGGCAAAACACTCTTTGATATAAATTGCAGCAATACTGTTTTGGATCCATCTCCTAGAGTAATGGAAATAAAAACAATAATTTAAAAAATGAGACCTACTTAAAAGCTTTTTGCATAAAAAAGCAAAAAGCATAAGCAAAATGAAAAGGCAACCCCCAGAATGGAAGAAAATATTTGAAAATGATGCAGCTGATAACAGATTAACCTCCAGAATTTACAAATAGTTCATGCAGTCAATAAATCTAAAAATGGGCAGAAGATCTAAACAGACATTTGTCCAAAGAAGACATGCAGCTGGCTAAGAGGCACATGAAAACATGCTCAGCGTTGCTAATTATCACAAAATGCAGGTCAATACTACAATGAGATATCACCTCAAACTAGCCATCGTCAAAAAACCTACAAGCAAATGCTGGAAAAGGTATGAAGAAAAGGGAACCCACCTATAGTGTTGATGGGGATATAAATTGGTACAGCAACTGTGGAGAAAAACTAAAAACAGCTTTAAAAAGCTAAAAATAGAGCTACCATCCAGCAAACTCACTCCTGAACATATATCTGGAGAAAAACCTGGTTCAAAAGGATAGGTGCATCACATGTTTTGTAAAGCACTGTTTGCAATAGTCAAGACATAGAAGCAACTTAAATGTCCATCAACACATGGATGGGTAAATAAGATGTACATATATACTATGGAATATTATCCAGCCATTAAAATGAATGAAATAATGCCATTTGCAGCAATGTGGATGGACCTGAAGATTACCATGCTAAGTGAAGTAAGTTAGAAAAACAGATATATGATGTCACTTAATATGTGGAAACTAAAAAAAATGATACAAGTGAACTTATAAAACAGAAACAGACTCTCATTCTTAGAGAACAAATTTATGGTTACCAAGGGGGAAGGTGGGGAGGAAGGATAGATTGGGACTTTTGGGTTGACATGTGCACATTGCTATAGTTAAAATAGATTATCAACAAGGAACTATATAGCACAGGAAACTCTGGCTCAATATTCTTTAATAAGCTAAATGGGAAAAGAATTTGTAAAAGAATAGTTAGTTACATGTATATGTTTAACTGAATCATTTTACACCTGAAACTAGCACAACATTGTTAATCAACTATATTCCAATATAAAATAATTTTTTTAATAATACAGAAGAATAAAGTAGGAATCTGCAATGAAAGTTCAGTAGAGGAAAGAAAATAATTAGCTATGTATTAGACATTGTCTTAGATATGTTACATATATCCTCAGTCTTCACCACAAAAAAAAATTGTGTTAATTAAAAAGTCATGTGTCTGTTTTTAGATATGAAAGTAAGCCTTAGAAAATCTGGGTTCCACACATACAGTAAATGTAGAACCTCCACCCAAAACTGTCTGTTCTAAAAAATCCTTGCTCTTCCCTGTTTTATTATATGACCTCAAACTTGAGTCAGTTAAAACCTGCCCCTTATTATTGATATAAAAGTGGTGGGGAATGGGGTGACTTTATGAGATGATAGAAGTGAAAATAGAAAAGGTACTGATCCTTGGAAAGGATATCTCTTACACTCAGTTGTTTTGCTTTGTTCTTTGGCAGATGGCATTTGGCATTAAAAGGGCAGGAAGGAGTAGGTCCTTATTTGTGTGACTGGATCCCTACCTCCCAAACTGAAAACTGCATTCCTGCTATCATACTGTCTTAGCTAAAGGAACATCGGAGAAGGCAATGGCAACCCACTCGAGTACTCTTGCCTGGAAAATCCCATGGATGGAGGAGCCTGGTAGGCTGCAGTCCATGGGGTCGCTAAGAGTCGGACACGACTGAGCGACTTCACTTTCACTTTTCACTTTCATGCATTGGAGAAGGAAATGGCAACCCACTCCAGTATTCTTGCCTGGAGAATCCCAGGGGCGCAGGAGCCTGGTGGGCTGCTGTCTGTGGGGTCGCACAGTCAGACACTGAAGCGACTTAGCAGTAGCAGCAGCAGCTAAAGAAACAAAGTCACAATATCTTATTCACATAGACAAGGTTCTTTACCCAGAGAAAATTCAGTCCCTGAGGAGTGACTGTTTTCATTTTTGATGACCTGTGCTTTGCTTAGTTACTCACTTGTGTCTGACTCTTTGCAACCCTGTGGGCTCTAGTCCTCCAGGCTCCTCTGTCCATGGGGGTTCTCCAGGTAACAACACTGGAGTGCGTTGTCATTTCCTTCTCCAGGGGTTCTTCCCAACCCAGGAATCGAACGCAGGTCTCCCACATTGCAGGCAGGTTCTTTACCATCCAAGCCACCGAGGAACTCCTTTGATGACCTACTCTTTACCATTTCTTTGTCAACTAATTTTTAATCTATATCTTTTAGTAACTTTTATGGTGAAATATTTCATAGTGGGAAATTATTGGTAGTATTATATGGTTTTGGTAATGCTTGATCTTTTTCTTTTCAGTCTTTATTTGGAAAAAATTTGACAACAATTTTGAATGAATATGTAGCTATGAAAGCAAAAGGTAAGAATTCAGGTTCAGGCTTTTTTTTTTTTTTTTTGGTCAGTTTTGTACAGCATTTATCTAATTGTTTTAATTAGAAGTGATTTTTTAAATTTTGAAATAATTGTAAAAATTCACTGGGAGATAGCCAATTAAAATCTGTTAATATTGAGTGATAAATATAACACTTTCCTAAATTAATGTCTTGAAGAGGAAAGTTAAATTTATTCTCTCATATTCGTTATTTCCATAGTTTGCAACATATTAAGAAAAGGTTCAGCAGTAAAGAATTAATTAGTACAAATGATAACATTTTAAAATGTAAGCTTCACATTTATTGAGTGCTGTTTATTGCAGCATTGTGCTGGGTGCTTTGAGGTTTTATTTCAGTCCTTAAAATAATCCAATGAGAGGTATTGATTGTTTCGATCTATTAATTTGTTCATTACTTGACTGCATCAAGCCTTCGTTGCAGCAGAAGGGGTCTTTGCTGCAGCACATGGAACTCTCCGCTTGTGGCACGTGGACTCTGGAGTTCCCTAGTCGTGGTGCAGGGCCTCCAGAGCGTGCAGGCTCAGTAGTTGATGTGCATAGGCTTAGTTGCTCCACGGCATGTGGGATCTTAGTTCCCCCAGCAGGGATCCTCCCCAAGTTCCTGCGTTGCACGGTATATGCTTAACCACTGGACCACCAGGGAAGCTCACTAGACCTTAAGTGTCAGAAAACTAAGGATTAGAGAAGCCAGATAACTTTTCTAAGATCACAAAACTAGAAACGGTAAAAAGTAATAAGCCTAGAATTTCAAAGTGTGAATTTCATTTCTTTCTCTTCAGTAGGTTATTTGGTCATTCTACCAAGGTTTTCTTTTCCCTGACTATCTTAACTATCTTACAGGAATATTTAGAGTGTAAATGACCTCAGAAACAATATGTTATTGCAGTACAAGGTTTATATCCCACTTTTATGTTGGTAACTTGCTCTTGTTTGAGCTTTTTAGAAGTATATAGTAAAGAATATAAATACCTTGAATTTCCTATCAGTGTGGCTTTAGAACACAACCTGAAAAAGACTAATTAGTCCTCCAGAATTTTATCTGTAATTCTAATTAGAGTAACTAAGGAGTTGCTGAGAAATCACAGTGATTTGGACCTGAAAACATTGGATGTAGAAAACTAATTTCCATATTTACATGAGTTTGTATAAATTTATAAATCAAATTATTTTGACTTTCAAATGTCACATAAGTAGAACAAAGATTTAAAATAGTTTGTCTTTTAATTCAGGGAAAATGCAAGATTATTGATCTAAAAAAACTTTATAGTTTCCACAAGTTTCCTTTTCCCTCATATTGTATCTGATTCTCAATGACTTGAGCAAAAAAAGCAACATCATGATAGCTTTGCAGGTCTTTACAAAATAGGATTTCTCAGTTCCCAACATAATGTCAGCAGCTGAGAGAAAAGTTTTCCTTATTGATTTTCTGTGTCTGTTCAAATTAAATGATGGATTTTTTATGAAACATTTCCTCTTATGATTTAGAAACATCAAATGATGTCCCAGCAATTATGTCATCTCTGTGGAAGAAGTTAGACCATACACTTTCTCAGATCAGGTAATAAAAGGCTTATACAATCAGCTTATCAGAATGTGCATAATAATTTTGGAATGCAAGCACAATTAAGAATAACTTCACGTTTAAATCTTATGACCCACACTGTGCATTTATTTAACACTGATCTAATTTTGAAATTATGCTAGAGGTTATTGATATTTGTCTTTGATTAGATAATTTTAAATAAATTGTGTACTTTAATAAAATATTTAGAAATGAGGAAATTAATGATATTCCCAGGTTCCTGTAACAATTTAGAGGCAGATCTCTGGCTGAATACAAATCTAGTCCCAATCTTGGTGGATACAAATCTACTAACTCAAGCCCCATGTAACTTCCCTTATACAGTTGCATCTTCATTATACATGCAGAAAATTGATATGTGTAATCCATGCCTCATTTGTTCTTCCCTTATAAAGGAACAAAGCCGAATAATAACACTTCTGGAATCTTCTGCTTTTAGAATTTTACTATGTCATGGCCTTGGAATGCTAGTCTCACTATCTTTAGAATAGGTATCAATTTTATAACATATCTTATTCAACTTGAGTCTAGTATGACTTACACTTTCTCCCAGAGCTACAAGTAAATACCTCACTTCAGCAGGGGCCTCCTTTCCTTCCTCAGCTTAAACTACTAGAATGGCTCCAAATGCTTTTTGTGTGACTCTGCACTACATTTTATTTGGTAGTCTTACTTTTATTCCCCTTTCCTGACTTCCCTTTCCTCTTTCATTCACTTGCAAACAATCTTCAAAGACATTCACAACTTAACACCTATGGGATGTTTATAAGTTACTGCAACGTTTTATTGACAAGGTATTACATAAAAAAAGAAACCTCCTAGCCAGATGTTCTCCAAGGTTAGTTTGTGTGCTGTTAAAAATATTTATTTGATTCAGTAAGTTTTGTGGCTCTTGTTGGCAGAGACTAATTTGACAGATTTCCGAGGACAGTGGCACAGTATCTGATTGTTGACAAAATACATGGGTAACCAGTTCATAGCAAAAGGAGAGTCAGTTGATATTGTGAATTTTCTTACCTGTTTGCTTTGTTCCTTCTCTAGAAGTTTGGTGAAACATTGTCATAGTCATAAATTTGATGAAAGCAGGATCTCTTTTGAAATCAACCTGGATTCCGAAGTATTTATGTATGCAGATATATGTAAAATCAGAATTTCTCTGGGAAGGCATTTCTATAGTTACAAAAGATAATTGATAATCGTGTATCAATTGTATATAATTGTAATATTATATATAGCTTTCTTAAATATGTTGAGTTCCTAAATTCAAGGCAAATTGTATTCTTAATGGGATTTCAAAGCTCTTGCTTATTGCATTGGATAGAAACTTGATTATTAAAATTATGCATGTTTGCATTTTTATATGCCACTGTTTTTTTCCTAAAGCAGATAATATTTGGTTACCCAGAAAAAAATGCTTATCTTTTTTATCTGAGACAAATTTCTTGCCTTTTAACTCATAATTTACTTCAGGTCTGACTGTAACTAAATCAGAATGTATCTTGGCAACAGAAATTTTTTAATGTCACTACTTTTGTTTATTAGGAGCATGCAAAGTTCCCCAGGGTTTGCTGCCAATCAGAGAGGTTGGTATTCAACTTTAAACTGTAAATAATGTTCAGAATTACTTTAAACTCAAATTTAACGTCAGATGAGTGTTTCTGTTAACAATACATGTATGTTGCATTTACATTTTGTTTAAACTACTGCTTTTCTAAGTACCATTATCATATTAGGAAATAATATTTTCATTTATTGTAAAACTGCATTTTAAATATATCTTATTTTTCTCATTGGCTCTCATGTATTCACACCTTTTAATTCTCATTCCATAAATTTGTTTCCTGATTGTGGAGATGTTACCAGTTTTAATTATTACAGAAGAAATGTATTCTTGGATTTTTAAAATTTTGGTGTACTCAATTTTAGTTTCTCTTGTGAAATTATCACATAAACAGGTGATAATTCTAGGGGCTGTTTTTTAAGTTCACTGTTAAATATGTAGTAGAACATATATTGTATAGATATCTTAAAATTCCCAAACTACTCTGACATTGAGTTAATTTTTTAAATGCTCATGTGTTTCAGCCCGAACAAGAAATGGGATTGCAGAAATCAAACGGCAGAGAAGGCTTGCATCTCAAGCAGCTCCTGTCAGTTCAGAGCCTTTACCGTATCTTTTAGGACAATTTACCAATTCTCCTTTGACTGCTACACAAGTTATTAGGCCAACTGGCCAAATATCAGCTCCTTTGAGGTCAGATTTTGTAGTGGTCAACCATTCACAGTCACAAGATACTATGACCAGTAAGTTTACATTTTGTGCTTTTGAATTTTGTTTTAATCAAATTGTGTGAATGAGATGATGTGATAATATCTTTATATTCATGGTATGCTGCTGCCGCTCAGTCACTTCAGTCGTGTCTGACTCTGCGACCCCATAGATGGCAGCCTACCAGGCTTCTCCGTCCCTGGGATTCTCCAGGCAAGAATACTGGAGTGGGCTGCCATTTCCTTCTCCAATGCATGAAAGTAAAAAGTGAAAGGGAAGGCGCTCAGTAGTGTCCGACTGTTAGTGATCCCATGGACTTCAGCCTACCAGGCTCCTCCGTCCATGGGATTTTCCAGGCAAGAGTACTGAAGTGAGTTGCCATGTCCTCCAATTCATGGTATAAAATATAGCAAAAAGTAGATAAGAAGCTGGAAGTGGGTGAATTTAGGTAATATGTGTGTGCTCACTCATTCAATTTGCCATTAAATAAACATATTATTAAATCTGGGAGACATGTTAATCTGGGATTCTTTTATCTGTACTGACATCCAGCCTTGAACTCTCTTCTAGTTCTCACTTATATGCATTAATTGAAAAAAAAAAACCCTTATTTGCTTTTAAAAGGAATGCACGTTATATTTGAACACTTTGTTCAACTCTTTGGGCATAGTAATCTGTCCTACTGAAATGAGGAATGTTTTTCTGATTAACCTCCATCTCTACATGTTGAAAATCCTACATATTCCTGGTTGAATCTTAGAGCTAAGGATAAACTTAGAGGTCATCTAGTACTTCTTGTTTGTTACATACTTGATAATATTAAAAGCACATGATATTTAGGAGCAAAAGGCTAGTTAATATCAGAGCTGGGATTAGAACTGAGGTGTCACCTCTCTTGGTTCTTAGACCAGTCTTTTTTCTCTTTGTGCAGGTAAAATGTATTGACAATCGTTGTATTCTCCCTTATTTCCATCTTTTCTCCAATCTCTTTAACACCTCTGGGTAGAAACACTTACCCAGTATATTCAGTTTATATGTCTTACAGTTCATTTGTTCTGCCATGATATTTTTTGTTGAAACTATTCTATATACTCTACTTTGTATTTTATTGTAAAACCTTTAAGTCATGGGGACTATAGTTTATGTATCTTAATATCTTTGTTGGAGAAGGTAATGGCAACCCACTCCAGGATTCTTGCCTGGAGAATTCCATGGACAGAGGAGCCTGGCAAGCTACAGTCCATGGGTTGCAAAGAGTTGGACACAACTGAGCAACTAACACGCACAGTATCTTCTGTAGTGCCTTGCACATAGTAGGCACTCAATATATACTAACTGAATTTGAAATAATCACTATGTAGTGCTTTTTTAATTCAGTTAATTCAAGTTTTAATAAACTATTCTGTTTCCTTGACTTACTGTTTTGTTCTCTTGAAATACAGCTGGAGAGGCTTTAAATAATAATACTGGTCCTCAGGAAAGGAAAAATCATGCCAGTTTAATGTCTCCTGGTAGACGCAAAAGGTAAATGCTTTCTAAAAAGACATGTTTCCAGTAACCATTACAAAAAAATTATACAAGGATACTTAAATTATGAATAAAGTAACAAAATTGCATGAAGTACTTGAGACTCTATTATAGCTGTTTCAAAGCACTTTTTTTTTTTACTTTATAACCTTCTTGAAATCAGATTGTTTCAGAAATCAATAATCTAGAAATGTGTTTCATTATAAGTGTTTTTCTGTAGTAGTATAGAAGAACATATTAAAATTGATGTTAACTCAGATTTTTGGAAATAATCATTTTTTATCAGCATACTTTAGGGTCTGTAAACACATATTTAAACTCCTAAACTGATAATTAAAAATCTTCTCAGACATTCTCTGAGAAGTACTCTTTCTGTCCTATTTAGCCCAGGTGTCTTTGTTTGAAGACTATTTCAGAAAAGAGAGATAATAGTTTAAATGTTTTTGCTGTTTTCTCAATTGCCATGCCCTGGGTACTTTTGTTGGATTTTTTACTGTTGGTTGTCTTTCATTCAAGGCTGACCTCAGCCTCTTTGGCAAGATTTCTCACTTAACCACATGAAATAATAAAAGTACTGTAACAATATCTAACATTTATAAGAACTTTGACCTTTTTATAAAGGTTTATTGAATTCTTTCATTAACCCTGTAAAGCTTTAGTTTTATCCCATTATAAAGTAGGTCAGAGGTTACCTGGTAGAGACCATATAGTTAATAAGTAATAAAGCTAGGTCTCAAATTCATTTCTCAATTCAAGACTATTAATGCTTTTCAACTCTACTGCCCTTTGTTCCTACCACAAATAGAGAAAAATATCTTTTCCAGCATGATTAAGATTTGTCTTTATATATAATGATCATTGGATTATTCATACTAGTTAAAAGATAAGCTTTTAAAATGTGTTTCAGTGAATCTCAAAGGAAGTCTGGGCCTCATTCAACAGTACGAAATTTGCAGGATCCAAATGCATTTGTAGTAGAAAAAGTAAGTGACCTTCCCAAACTTTGCAACTTAAGATATTCCTGAGTTTATAACTATTCATATGTATACAATTTTTATATATATATATATATATATATATATATATATATATATATAGTGTGTGTGTTTGTGTAAAATGTAGTATTTCTGTAAGACTGCAGTAGAGGGAATTCCCTATCAGCCCAGTGTTTAGGACTCCACACCATTGCAGGGGTTCAATCCCTGCTCAGGAAACAGATCCAGCAAGCTACATGATGTGACACAAAAAAACTGCCATAGAATTACTTTGGGATGGACTGTAAGTACAAAACTGTAGACTGTGGTCCACCGGCGGGGTGGGGGCAGGGATGGCAAACCTCTCAGTATTATATTATTAACACAAGAACCACATGAATAGTATAAAAAGGCAAAAAGAGAAGATGAGCTCCCCAGGTCAGGTGTCCAGTATCCTACTAGGGAAGAATGGAGGGTAATTACTAATAGCTCCAGAAAGAGTAAAGAGGCTGGGCCAGAGCAGAAACAGCACTCAGTTACGGATGTGCCTGGTGGTGAATGTAAAGTCCAATGCTATAAAAAACAATATTGCATAGGAACCTGGAATGTTACGTCTGTAAATCAAGGAAAAATTGGATGTGGTCAAGTGGGAAATGACAAAAGTGAGCATTGACATCTTAGGAATCAGGGAACTAAAATGGATGGGAATGGGCAAATTTAATTCAAATGACCGTTTTATCTATAACTGTGAGCAAGAATCCCTTGGAGAAATGGATTAGCCCTCATAGTCAACAAAAAAGTCCAAAGTGCAGTGCTTGGGTGCATTTTCAAAAATAGCAGAATGATCTTGGTTCGTTTCCAAGGCAAACCATTCAATATCACAGTTATCCAAGTCTGTACCCCAACCACTGATGCCAAAGAAGCTGAAGTTGACTGGTTCTATGAAGACTTATAAGACCTCCTAGAACTAACACCAAAAAAAGATTTCATTTTCATCATAGTGGATTGGAGTGAAAAAGTAGGAAGTTAAGAGATACCTAGAGTAACAGCAAGTTTGGCCTTGGAGTACAAAATGAAGCAGGGCAAAGGATAATAGTTCTGTCAAGAAAACACATTGGTCATAGCAAACACTGTCTCCCAAGATCACAAGAGAAAACTACACCTGGACATCACCAGATGGTCAATACCGAAATCAGATGATAATATTCTTTGCAGCCAGAAATGGAGAAGCTCTATACAGCCAGCAAAAACAAGACCAGGAGCTGACTGGCTGAGATCATCAGCTCCTTATAGCAAAATTCAGGCTTAAATTGAAAGTGGGGGAAACCACTAGGCCATTCAGGTATGACCTAAATCAAATTCCTTATGAATATACAGTGGAGGTGACAAATACATTAAGGAATTAGATCTGGGAGACGACTTCCTAAAGAACTATAGACAGAGGTTCATAACATTATGCAGGAGGTGGTGACCAAAACCATCCCCAAGAAAAAGAAATGCAAGAAAGCAGAGTGGTTGTTGAGGAGGCTTTACAAATAGCTGAGAAAAAAGAAGTGGAAGACAATGAAGAAAGTGAAAGATACACCCAACTGCATGCAGTATTACAGAGAATAGCAAAGAGAGAAGAAAGCCTTCAGTGTACAAGGCAAAGGAAATAGAGGAAAACAATAGAATGGGAAGGACTAGAAATCTGCTCAAGAATGGGAAGATTTCATGCGAGGATGGGCTCGGTAAAGGACACGTATGGTAAGGGCCTAACAGGCAGTAGAGGCCAAGCCCAGCTGGCAGGAACACACAGACGAGCTGTGCAGAAAAGTCTTAGGGACCCAGATAACCCCAGTGCTGTGGGCACTCACCTGGAGCCAGACATCCTGGGGTGTGAGGTTAAGTGGGCCTTAGGAAGCATCACCAAGAGCATGGCTAGTGGAGGTGATGGAATTCCAGCTGAGCTATTTCAAGTCCTAAAAGATGATGCTGTTAAAGTGCTGCACACAATATGTCAGCAAACTTGGAAGAGTCAAAAGTGGCCATCGAACTAGAAAAGGTCGGTTTTCATTCCAATCCCAAAGAAGGGCAATGCCAAAGAATGTTCAAACTACCGTACAGTTGCACTCATTTCACATGCTAGCAAGGTTATGTTTAAAATCCTTCACACTAGACTTGAGCAGTATGTGAACTGAGAACTTGCTGATGTAAAAGCTGGATTTAGAAAAGGCAGCAGAACCAGAGATCAAATTGCCAGCATTTGTTGGATCATAGAAAAAGCAAGGGAATTCCAGAAAAACATCGACTACTGTTTCGTTGACTATGTGGAAGCCTTTGACTGTAAGGGTCACAAACAAACTGGGGGAAATTCTTACGAAATAGGGATACCAGACTATCTTAGCTGCTTCCTGAGAAATCTGTATGCAGGTCAAGAAGCAACAGTTAGAACTGAATATGGAACAACGGACTGGTTCGAAATTGGAGATGGAGTACAATAAGGCTGTATATTGTCACCCTGCTTATTTAACTTGTGTGCAGAGTACATCATGCAAAATACCAAACTGGATGAATCTTAAGCTGGAATCAAGATTGCCGGGAGAAATATCAATAACCACAGATATGCAGATGATACCACTTTTAATGGCAGACAGTGAAGAGAAACTGAAGTGCCTCTTGATGAAGGTGAAAGAGGAGGGTGAAAAAGCTGGCTTAAAACTCAACATTCAAAAACTAAGATCATGGCATACAGCCCATGACTTCATGGCAAAATGAAGGTGGAAAAGTGGAAACCGTGACAGGTTTTATTTTCTTGGGCTCCAAAATCACTGTAGATGATTACTGCAGCCATGAAATTAAAAGACACTTGCTCCTTGGAAGGAAAGCTGTGACACGCCTACACAGCGTGTTAAAAAACAGACACAAAGATCTGTATATTCAAAGCTATGGTTTTTCCAGTAGTCATGTACAAATGAATGTGAGTGTTGGACCATATAGAAGGCTGAGCGCCAAAGAACTGATGCTTTCGAATTGTGGTGTTGAAGACTTGAGAGTCCTTTGGACTGCAGGGAGATCACACTTGTCAATCCTAAAGGAAATCAACCCTGAATATTTATTGAAAGGACTGATGCTGAAGCTGAAACTTCGATACTTTGGCCGTCTGATGTCAAGAGGCAACTCATTAGAAAAGACCCTGATGCTGGGAAAGATGGAAGACAGAAAGAGAAGAGGCGGTAGAGGATGAGATAATTAGATGGCATCACCAACTTGATGGACATGAATATGAGCAAACTTCACTATCAGGAGATAGTGAAGGCCAGGGAAGCCTGGCATGCCACAGTCCTTGGTGGCACAAAGAGTTGTACACAACTTCAGGGACTGAAGAACAGCCACAGACTGTAGGGATATTTACTAGTAAGAAACAGTCAGAATAGCTGACACATGCAAATGCACCAAGTAAGAAACAGAAGTATGTTTAAGAAACTGTAAATACATTGCTATTGCTGTATTATGCAATATAATAAGACATTTTTCCAGAATAGAGTCAGCTTACTTAAAACCTTGTATGAAAAGGTAAAAAGTTTGGAACTGTGTAGTTCCAAAGTGAAAAAGAAGCTGATGAAGGATCTGTGAAAATACTTCTAAGTGGTTAATGTAGTTCTGGTGTTAATATGGAATGCACCACCATAACTTGAGTTTCTACCTAGATTTATTAAAACTATCCAGCTTCCATTGATTCTTTTTAAACAAATAGCATAATACTCTATCCTGTGCTTTTGCTAATACTGATTTCTTTTTCAGCAAATGGTTATTGAAAATGCACGAGAAAAGATACTAAGCAACAAGTCTCTTCAAGAAAAGCTTGCAGAAAACATTAATAAATTTTTGACTAGGTAAAATGTTTGTGTTTAAAATACCTACTTGTTTTTGCCCAGTTGAGAACCATGATAAAAGTTTTCCTTTGTGTATTACAGTGACAATAGTATTGCTCAAGTACCTAAGCAAACAGATAGCAACCCTACTGAACCAGAGACTTCAATTGATGAACTCCTGGGACTTCAGGTACGGTTAAGGTGGGGTGTGTGTGTATGTGTGTGTGTGTAGTAGATATACTCATCATTAAAACTGGTAGTATTCTGGTTTCATTTCAAAACCATTGCTAACCATATGTATAAGATGCTTTAAAATAATAATTAAAATACAGATTTCCTTCATTATCCAAATGTAATCTGTTCCTGAAAATGTGTTAGTGAATTTCAACATGAAAATTGCAATATTTTTCCTATTTTATTAAAAATAGTTGGCATACATCACTGTATAAGTTTTAGGCATGCGATTCAATGATTTGATTTAAATATGTTAAAATTGCTTTATTGAATAAGACATTCCTAACCGATCTGGTGATTGTAACCAGTTCTTCCAGGTATCTAAGATTTTCCTGCATCCATACAACAACCAATCATGTATTTCATAAACATGCATTTCATGTTTAATGATTAAAGATTCATTAGTAGATGTATTTTTGCTCATTAAGCAGTATTGTACAGTGTATATAAAATAAATTACATTTCTTCTGCACCTGCACAAACTATATAAAAATATAAAGAAACAGTGAAATGATATGTTAAACTTATGTGAAGAATCCAAGTACTATTTAACAAAAAGTGAGCAAGACACTTTAGAAAGAAGTTACCAACTAAATGAATACTTACCTGTGAGATTTACTGCTGAGAGAATATAAATAGGGGCTATAGTCACTTGCTGACAGTGAAGATGAAAGAGGATGAGCTGGTAAAGGAAGAGTTTAACAATATGTGTTTTAAGATTTGCAAATATCTTTTTGAAGAACAGCTGAAATTGTGGTGGTTGCATATGCTTTTATTTAGACTCTGAGATAATATAGTCATTTTGTTGCTCTACCACAAAATGAATTCATAATAATGAATTCACGATAGCAGTTTACTTTCAGATAATGAATTCCAAGTAAAACCACTGAGTTTTTTTTTTCTTTTTGTCACTTCCTTCAGAATACTTAAAAAAAAACTTTTTATACATTTTCCTATAGTGAAATTCAATAAATTTTAACAAAATATGGAAAAGCTTTTTGAAAGCAGCCTGGCTTCCCTGATAACTCAGTTGTTAAAAGAATTCTCCTGCAATGCAGGAGACCCCAGTCTGATTCCTGGGTTGGGAATATCCGCTGAAGAAGGGATAGGCTACCCACTCCAGTATTCTTGGGCTTCCCTTGTGACTCAACTGGTAAAGAATCCGCCTGTAATTCAGGAGACCTGAGTTTGATCCATGGATTGGGAGGATTCCCTGGAGAAGGGAAAGGCTACCCACTCCGGTATTCTGGCCTGGAGAATTCCCTGGACAGTCCATGGGGGTGGCAAAGTCAGACACAACTGAGCAACTTTGACTTTTTAAATTATTTAGCAATCTTCCACTGTTTTAAAGTTTAACATATCCCCTTTTCTAAATTTTTATAATCTTCAATTCCTTGCTTATATTTTCTCCACAAATACATCAGGTGCTTACTGTAATCAAGACACTCTGTTAGATACTGTGAGAGGTTATAAGAAAATGGAGACACAGCTCTCTGTTCATGGTATTCATAATATTGTATATTCTGGAAAAGTTAAAAATACAGATTTCAATAAGTTTGAAAGAACAACAATGGAGTAGTACATGCATCAGCTTCACTGAGAGAACAGAGCCACTTGTACAAATAGGTAAATTTTTAAAATATTTTTATGCATCTTTGTGACCTTGGGATGGGCAGGATATCTTGGGTTATACAAATCACCAACTGATTTTAAGACTTCCTTAAATTCAAAAAAAGTGCTTGTCAAAAGCAACATTAAAGGTGCTTCCCTGGTGGCTCAGTGGTAAAGAATCCACCAGCCAATACAAGAGACACCGGTTTGATAACTGATTGGGGAAGATCCCATATGCCCGTGCACCACAACCGCTGAGCCTGTGCTCTGGAGCCCAGAAGCTGCAACTGCTGAGCCCACGAGTCACAGTACTGAAGCCTAGAGACGTGCCTCGCAGCCAGAGAAGCCGCTGCAGTGAGAAGCCTGTGCACCACCGCTAGAGCGTAGCCCCCGCTTGCTGCAACTAGAGAAAACCCTGTGCGGCACCAGCGCAGCACAGCCAAAAATAAAAATAAAATTGTTTTAAGTTTTAAAGATTATTTTTAAAAAAGCGTCATTAAAGAAAACTAAAAGGCACACCGACAAGTTTGGAACGTGTATTTCAGGATTCTTTCAATTATGATTTTTAAAGTTTGAATGTAATGAGAAATTTACTAAAAAAATGTTTTTCCTCAGCAGTAACCTTTCTAAGAGGGTATGCACCACTTCATAGTTTGATTAACATTGGATTGTTGACTCGTGACATTATTTACATTAGGATAGATTTTCAAGTTCATAGATAAAGAAATATTTGTTCAAGCTCCTGGCTTTCTTCTAAGTCACAATTCATCAAGAATTATTGATGTTCTCTGTACATCTTCATTGCCAAGGTTAAGTGGTTCTTTAGTTTTTCTTTTCATTTGATGGCTATTTTCATTTTAAAAATGCAAGCTTTTAATCATTTCATGAGAGTTCCACCTTATCTCTTGCTCCACGCGAATTTCCTCTCCCTTGGGATCCAAATGTATGCTTCACCAAAATTGAAGAATTTAAACAGAATTTAAAGGTAGCTTTTGGCATGCTGCTTTTAAGGATGAGCATATAAGCAAGGAATGTCCAACATTTAGAGGAAGTATTTAAAATATGGATACAGGGAGTTTCCTGTATCCCTGCAGTCAGGAGTTAAGACTCCTTGCTTCCACTGCAGGGGGCACAGGTTCCCCCCCTGATAAAGGAGCTAACATCCCACATGCTTCATGGCACAGCCAAAAAAAAAATCAAAAATTTTAAAAAATAAAATGAAGAGACATTACCATCTTTCTAAATTCCATATATATGTGTTAGTATACTGTAATGGTCTTTATCTTTCTGGCTTACTTCACTCTGTATCATGGGCTCCAGTTTCATCCATCTCATTAGAACTGATTCAAATGAATTCTTTTTAATGGCTGAGTAATATTCCATTGTGTATATGTACCACAGCTTCCTTATCCATTGAATTTATCCATGGAATTTAGAAAGATGGTAATGATAACCCTATATGCAAAACAGAAAAAGAGACACAGATGTACAGAACAGACTTTTTAGACTCTGTGAGAGAAGACGAGGGTGGGATGTTTCAAGAGAACAGCATCGAAACATGTATATTATCTAGGGTGAAACAGATCACCAGCCCAGGTTGGATGCAGGAGACAAGTGCTCTGGCCTGGTGCACTGGGAAGACCCAGAGGGATCAGGTAGAGAGGGAGGTGGGAGCGGGGATCAGGATGGGGAATACATGTAAATCCATGGCTGATTCATGTCAATGTATGACAAAAACCACTACAATATTGTAAAGTAATTAGCCTCCAACTAATAAAAATAAATGAAAAAAAATTTTTTTTAAATGAAGAGACAAAAACAGGCAGATAAAAAAGAGTGAGATTTATATTGGAGGATCTAGAAAGCAGTGTACAACAAACTAATATGAAGAAAGCTGATTAAAGAACATTATTAAACCAAACTCATAGAAAAAGAGATACGAGGTGGAAGAATTGGAAAAAGGTGGTCAAAAGGTACAAATTTTCAGTTATAAGTGCAGGGGATGCAATGTACAACACAATAACTACAGTTAACACTGCTGTAACAGCTTGAGGTTAGGGGTGCTGACCCCACATGCAATCAAAAGCCCACTTCAAACGTTATATCAGCCCTTCATGTATCAGTTCCACAAGTACAAATTCAGCCAAAATTGGATTTTGTAGGGCTATAGTACATAATTATTGAAAAATTTTTGCATATAAGTGGACCTGCATGGTTCAAAACAATGTTGTTCAAGAGGCAACAGTATTTGAAAGTTAAGAGGATATATCCTAAGAGTTCTCACAAGGAAAAAAAATTTTTTTTCTTTTTAAAAAATATATATGAGATGATGAATATTAAGTAAGCCTTTGGTAATCATTTCACAGTATATGTACGTCACCTCATTACACGGTATAACTTAAACGTACACAGTGGTGTATGTCAACAAAGAACAGTGCAGCTTGATTTTACTTTGTATACATAAATATTCCTATGTTTATTTTAATGTTTGGGAATATATTCACCAAAGTGATTAAATAGTAGAATTAGGGAACATTCACTTTCTATTTGCTAGTCTTGTTTTAGTTTAAGTGAATAGTGTTATAATGAGAAGAAATTTTCTTGGAAGGGAATAGATGTCCTCTAATTTTCTTTGCTGGTATTAAACCATTATCAATTCAGTTGGAATCACTTTTGTATGTTGTTTTTTTGCAGAGTGAGATCCACATGTCTGAAGAAGCTATACAGGATATATTGGAGCAGACAGAATCAGATCCAGCATTTCAGGCACTCTTTGATCTCTTTGACTATGGTAGGTAGACCATTTCTTTCAAGATAGTTTGGAAAAAATGTTTCTCCAATTTCTTTAGAGAAATAGCTTAAAGAGTGAAATAGCATTTCCCAGAGCATCTGGAGAAAGTTCCTGTTTTTTCATATGAAAGAGTTTTCTCTTTTTAATTTTGTATGCACTGGGTCTTCATTGTGGTGTGTGGGGCTCTCTAGTTGTGGCATGTAAGCTTAGTTGCCCTGAGGCATGTGGAATCTTAGTTCCCCAACCAGGGGTCGAACCCACGTGCCCTGCATTGGAAGGCTGATTCTTAAGCACTGGACCACCAGGAAAGTCTTGTTTTTCTAAAGATACTTTAGCTATAAAAATAGAGAGCAGTCTTGTGGGTGAGAAGGATAGTGGTGGGCAGTATTTCCAGTCATCAAAAATGTGTTGTGGTCTACTACTATGCATACATTATACTAAACACAGTTGGATAATACAAAAGAAATAAAAATATTGGCATTGCCTTCCATCTTACAGCCTAGTGCAGTAGTGCTAAAAGTATAGTCTCCAAACTAGCAGATCAGAATTATCTGAGAACATGTTAAAAATGCAAATTCTTGGATCTGTATATTATGATATACAGTATCATAAGTGATACTTATGATATCATGATATACAGTAGTATAAGAACTACTGGTCTAGAGGAAAAATCATACTTATCAATGATATATAAGGCAACATGTTAAAAACTGTAATCAAAGGACTATAATTAAAACCAAACTTTAATATTTGCTGACCACTGTCGAGATGTATTAATTGGTGCTTATTTTTATTTTGGTCATTTAACCAATTGTTTCCCTATTCCCGTTTTAACAGGTAAAATAAAGAATAGTAAAAATATATCACAAGGCATTTGCAGTCAGCATATGGAAACCAATCCCAGTGTAGTCTTAGCAGGTGAAACTAATCTAGCAGTTAAAGGTACTTTTGGAACAGAAGAATCTGGTAAGAATTTTATTTTGTTCATATCAGTCTAAATTCTAATATCAATCCCCAAATCTCTAAGGCACAAAGTGTTGTTTAATTTGAAAATTGTTTGAATTATTCCCACGCCCTTAGTACTTTGATTAAAAGATGAATTTTTATTACTTGTTCCTTCATGATATAATAGACTTGACATGCACAATTTGGTGTGACTAGTGTTGACCAATTCAACCAAAGTCTATAACTTCAAACATAATTTTTTGAGACACATATTCAGAATAAACCCCTAATTTGTAAGGTTGGTTTGTGGTATTAATCATCCAGCCTAGTAAGCAAATACAGCTGAATGCTCAGTATCTATACCTCTTATTTAGAGGAAATTGTATACTCTGCCGATGGTCCTGAATTAATAGATTTTATGAGGTTTTAGGTCATATTCCTGTATCTTTACTAAGTCACTTTATGTTTCTGCCTCTCATGGAATACCAGTATGGCACATAATTGTCCTACAGTAACTGAGGACAGGCAGTGAATATGTCTGTCTTAGATCTTTTAAAATTTTGCCAAGTTTTTTAAAATTTTCATTTTTGTGATGCATGCTAAGTCGCTTTTCAGTTATGTCCGACTCTGTGTGACCCATGGACTGTAACCCACCAAACTCTTCTGTCCATGGGATTCTCCAGGCAAGAATACTGGAGTGGGTTGCCATTCCCTTCTCCAGAGGATCTTCCTGACCCAGGGATCAGACCCATGTCTCTTAAATCTCCTGCATTGGCAAGTAGGCTCTTTACCACTAGCACCATCTGGGAATCCCTTAAGACTTGCAGAAGTGTACAATAAAAATATACTTTGTTCATTGAATTATTAGCAAGCAAACACCCACATAACAATCTCTCAGGTCAAAAAATAGAATACTGCCAGCACCACAAAAACATCTGTTCATATTCTTTCCCAACCACTATTCCTTGCATAACCATTATCCTGGCTTCTCTCATGTTATCCTGGCATCTCACACTTGCTAAACTTTATGCCTGTTTGGTACCACTCTGTCCATTTCTGTCTACACCAAGGTATGCCAACGTAATCTTTTTTGTTCATCTGTTCTTAAATGCCATTACTCCTTCCAGCTCTGTCAAAAAACCTCATGACTCCCAAGTTTCACATTATGTCTTCCAAAAGCTAGTTTTGGAATATGTCAGACTATATTCCTACTGAAAGTCCTTTGCCTGTATCCAAGCCCAATCCTCCATTTCTTCTTAGGTTGAATTGTAGTAGAATGTCTTTCTCATATATATTATATGTGGAAGATTGTACCCTGCCCTGCACAAAATGAAACTTGGAATCCTATTTTCTAAGAAGGTCTCTTCCCACTTGATTGAAACTGACTACCTGGATATAATTTCTACTGATTTCCCCACAGTAAGGATTTTCATGCACTCCATACCCACTATTATGTTACCAGTGTCACATTAACAGAATTTGATGATGGTTCCTATACATTTTTCTAGATTTTCCCCATTATATATTTCATATTGTTAATATTTCCTAAACTGTGAATGATGTATGACAGTATATCAGTATTTTCTCAAATGCCCTTTTTTTCTGACTATTGCCCTTCTTTTATTTGTCAAGGTCTCCTCATGCCATATGCCATACCTCTCTTAACACTTTCTCACATTCCATAGGCTTGAAGAGGTGCCTTTTGTTCCTATACTGTTACAGTTATTAGCATGTTTTATTATGACTTTCTATTCTGTATCTGCCTCCCTTTCTAGATCACCAAGGGCAAATAGGATCATTCACCTTTATATCCCAGTACTGATCATATGATTGATATATGATGTGTAATAAATGTTAAATAGTACATCAAATATTGGTTATGCAAAATGTACTTGGCCCCATTGCATCTTCTTAATGAATATATCAAATAGTATGGTAGAAGGTGAAAAGTCAGCTGTTTTGAAAAAACTGTATAGCCGATTTTTATATATTAGTATATATTAAATGTTCTTAAGAGTATATGTTTTTTTCTTCACGTGTCATCTGTTTTCTAAAAAGCTTGAAAAACAATTTGACACATGTATAAATAGGCATCAGTGATAAGAAAAGTATCTGTAAGTTTTTTGATACTCAAAAAATGAATTTAATATATTTCCATGTGCTGGTATGTCAGAGATTAGTTATCTCCTTGGCAAAATAGGCTTAACACTAAAGATGACTACCTCAGGCTGTTATACACACTCACCATATGTTTCTGCCATCCTAATATTTTGCAGATGATCCATCTGGTCAACCCTCATTTTGTACTTCCTATCAAAATGAAGACACTTCAAATGTTTTGAAGAATGGCAGCAACCATGATGAGCTTAGACAGGAAGCCCAGGAACATTTTTCCCACATAGACTCTAGCATCCAGAAAAAGACCTTTAAAACAGTTGTATCTACTGAACAGAAGTGTAACCTTGATATTACCTTTGAGTCTGTGCCCAGTTTGAGTGACTTTAACGAAAGAGTAAACTCTGATGCTGAATGTAATCAGCATTGTGCTGAATTATACACCAGTCAGATGTCCACTGAGACTGAAATGGCTCTGGAAGTTGAAAAGAATTCTTTGTCTCCAAGTGTACAGAATGAATCTCAGTTACAGCCCGACCAGTCTCCTATACCAATAAGTTCAGTTGTTTCCCTTGGTGGTGAAACTAACAGTGAGAACTTAATTCTTTCTGGAAAACCTTCTCAGCTTTTACCCCAAAATATTCCATTAGCTGGAAAGGCATCTGAAAAAGGTCAGTTTTGTGAAAGTTCTGATGATACAAGAAGACTTAAAGCTGATTTCCCTGATTCCAAGTCACTAGATTCTAGAGAAATTCGTCAGAATAAAATTGAAATTAATAATGTGTTACCAGTTGTATCACAGCAACTTGCAGATTGCCAAGATAATTCTTCACTTCAGATATTACCTGCATCTATTGAAAATTCAGGTTTAACTGTATCTAAACAAAAAGTAGAAATTCACCTTGAAGATTCAATATCTTCAATTAAACAGCCATCTAATGATTCATCATCTGTTGAGTTAACTCATGCAATACATGAAACTCAGTCCTCCAAGTCTGAGAAAGCTGCTTTGGATTCACAAGAGCCTTCATCTTCTGTAAAAGAAGATGGAGATAGTATTTTTCTTTCTCTAGGTGAAAATAACTGTGAAGAAGTTACATTGATGCCTTCAGGAAGTAATCCTATAGAAGATAGACATTCTCTTCCTTCAGAATCTCTGTGTTCTTCAGTGAGGGAGTCTCATCCCGAGTCCCAGAACACTAATAATAAATCTGCTAAGGACAAATCTACAGAGATAGATGCATCAAATATAGTCTCTCTCAAAATTATCATCAGTGATGATCCATTTGTTTCCTCAGATACCGAACTTAACAGTGCAGTTTCTAGTATCAGCGGAGAAAACTTGCCAACTATAATTTTGTCTTCTCCTGCTAAATCACCTGCCAGAAATGCAGAATTAGTTAAATGCCTGTCTTCAGAAGAAACCACAGGTGCTGTCTCATCTGCTGAAGGAACTGGGGATTCAGCCTCAATGGAACAGAGCCTTTTAGCACTCAAACCTGAAGACTCTACAGTAAACAACATGCAGAATGAAGACAGCATTGCTCTTTCAACCAATGTTACGCCATGTGTTTCCAAGGATGGAGGATACATACAGTTAATGCCAGCTACGAGCACAACTTTTGGCAATTCAAGTAATATTTTGATAGCTACTTGTGTAACTGATCCAACAGCCTTAGGAACAAGTGTCAGTCAGTCAAATGTTGTGGTGTTGCCTGGAAATTCTGCACCTATGACTGCTCAACCTCCACTATCTCAATTACAGACACCCCCAAGGTCAAATAGTGTATTTGCTGTCAATCAAGCTGTGTCACCCAACTTTTCACAAGGTAACTAAGAACATCATAGTGAAGTTCATTGCTCTGGAATGGGATCAACTTTCGTTTGTGTGTGTAGTGATTGGCTAGAAGGTAATAATAAATCATGGATGATAGTATAAGATTCAGAAATTTGTGATTATGCCATCTCTACTTTAGAGAATTCAGTCACACTTCTTTTTTAATCTACTGCTCAGCTATGGAATTCAGTGGTTTAATTTTTCACTTTTTCTTTCCACACTTACTTCTCAATCCATGTCTAAGCTACAAGAAAAAGAGCAGTGGGGAGGCTAATTCATCTAAAACTCAGTGTTGTAGGAGATTTTTCTTAAATAGCTGTTAAGAGTTTTGGTTTTCCAGAAATTTATTGCCTGTTTGGACAGACTTCCAAGACAAAACTTGAATTTCTCCCTCTGTAATACCCTTTGTAATTTCTCACTGTTTTCCACCTTTGAAAATTGATACCTGTCTTTTGAATTCTTTGCTTATAGGAGGACTTATGGCATTTACTACATTCATTTTATATGTAGTTCAGTTGAATGCCTGTCTTAGTGGTCGTTCTTGATTGTATGTTCCTTGAAGGTGGAGTTTGTGGCGCATTCATCTACACTTCTTAAATTCCCAAGCTCCCCCCGCCCCGCCCCCCCCCCCCCGCTTTTTTTTTTTTTACATTTGGGCGTAGTTAAAGCAGATTAAATATCAGCAGTTAAGTATCAAGACTGATGGATCTAAAGTTAAAGAAAGGGTCAGAGTTAGTAGGCCGGGTGGGACTTCAGCTGAAGTTTAGAGAAATAAGTAGTATTTGGAGTAAAAGGAAGGGAATCTTAAGCAGCACAAGGATAGATAGGTATTTGAGAGACTTGAAAGTGTTCATGAAGGTGAGGAGATCAAGCTAGTAGGAGCAGTTAATGAACTTATTAGGAAAAGATTCATTTACAGGAAAGGGTTAAATGAATTATGATAGCCATAGATTATATTGTTGATGTTTCCATGTGAACATTGTACTTTCCCCCATAGTTTTGACTGGTTGCTCACTTATCTGGACCTTTCTGGACAAATACAAGTGAAATAATAGCTTGGGTTTGTGAGTAAGTCTTAGTCTTCAGTTAGGTAGGACCTAATTTTATGGTAAAAGATTCAGACTTGAAAGCGTACTACCAACTTTTCAATCAATTTCACTGTTTTCCCTAGGGGAATCAAGGTTACAACTATGATATGACCTCCTGGCTGTAGAGTCTTATGCTTACTCATGATGTTTAGCTTGACTAAATGCCATAGAATAGTTTACTTCAAATTGACTTTTTCTCAATTTGTTAGTCTTGCTGTTGTCCCTAATTTAATTTTTTAAGGAAAGTAGATTTATATAAAAAGGAATTTATAATTGTATACAATTTATTTCAAACTAATAATTACTTTGGTGCCTTATATTTATGAGAGAAAAATCCCATTATATTGAGAATTGTTGTTTTTGTTGTCATCGTTGTTTTTGAAGGATCTGCCATTATAATTGCTTCTCCAGTCCAACCGGTACTTCAAGGAATGGTGGGAATGATTCCTGTATCTGTGGTTGGACAGAATGGAAATAGCTTTTCTGCTCCTCCTCGGCAGGTAAGATTTATTAACTGAAAATGGCTCAGTGCCACTTTTCAAACAAAATATAATTAATGGAGTCTTCTCTTCTAGGTCCTTCATATGCCTCTGGCGGCACCTGTATGCAATAGAAGTATCCCTCAATTCCCTATCCCTCAAAAATCTTTGAAGAGTCAGGGGCTAAAAAACAAACCTTGTACAGGTATGTTTTTATTCATGTCAACTTTATGTAATCTTTTGTTTTTTGTTTTTTTAATACTAATAGCTTTCCTAACAGGTGATTATCCAAGCTTTGCTTAAGTTTTTTGCAATAATTAGAAAAAAAGACAAATGGAACAGAACAGAATTTAGAAAGAAATCATGTATTTATAGGAACTTGTATGTAGTAGAGATAACATCAGAAGTCAGAAGAAATAGGATTCAGTTCAGTTCAGTCACTCAGTCGTGTCCTAGTCTTTGTGACCCCCCTGGACTGCAGCATGCCAGGTCTCCCTGTCCATCACCAAATTCCAAAGTTTACACAAATTCATGTCCATTGAGTTGGTGATGCCTTCCAACCATCTCGTCCTCTGTCATCCCCTTCTCCTCCCACCTTCAATCTTTCCCAGCATCAGGGTCTTTTCAAATGAGTCAGTTCTTCGCATCAGGCCGCCAAAGTATTGGAGTTTCAGCTTCAACATCAGTCCTTCCAATGAACACCCAGGACTGATTTCCTTTAGGATGGACTGGTTGGATCTCCTCGCAGTCCAAGGGACTCTCAAGAATCTTCTCCAACACCACAGTTCAAAAGCACCAATTCTTTGGTGCTCAGCTTTCTTTATAGTCCAGCCTCTCACATCCATACGTGACCACTGGAAAAACCATAGCCTTGGCTAGACAGACCTTTGTTGGCACTAATGTCTCTGCTTTTTAATATACTGTCTAGGTGGGTCATAACTTTCCTTCCAAAAAGTAAGTGTTTTTTAATTTCATGTCTGCAGTCACCATCTGCAGTGATATTGGAGCCCAAGAAAATAAAGTCAGCCACTGTTTCCACTGTTTCCCCATCTATTTGCCATGAAGTGATGGGACAAGATGCCATGATCTTAGTTTTCTGAATGTTGAGCTTTAAGCCAACTTTTTCACTCTCCTCTTTCACTTTCATCAAGAGGCTCTTTACTTATTCACTTTCTGCCATAAGGGTTATCTCATCCGCATATCTGAGGTTATTGATATTTCTCCCGGCAATCTTGATTCCAGCTGGTGCTTCATCCAACCCAGTGTTTCTCGTGATGTACTCTGCATCTAAGTTAAATAAGCAGTGTGACAATATACAACCTTAACATACTTCTTTTCCTATTCGGAGCCAGTCTTTTGTTCCATGTCCAGTTCTAACTTTTGCTTCCTGACCTGCATACAGATTTCTCAAGAGGCAGGTCAGGTGGTCTGGTATTCCCATCTCTTGAAAAATTTTCCACAGTTTATTGTGATCCACACAGTTAAAGGCTTTAACTTAGTCAGTAAAGCAGAAATAGATGCTTTTTTGGAACTCTTGCTTTTTCGATGATCCAGCAGATGTTGGCAATTTGATCTCTGGTTCCTCTGCCTTTTCTAAAACCAGCTTGAACATCTGGAAGTTCACGTATTGCTGAAGCCTGGCTTGGAGAATTTTGAGCATTTCTTTACTAGCGTGTGAGACGAGTGCAATTGTGCAGTAGTTTGAGCATTCTTTGGCATTGCCTTTCTTTGGGATTGGAATGGAAACACCTTTTCCAGTCCTGTGGCTACTGCTGAGTTTTCCAAATTTGCTGGCATATTGAGTACAGCACTTTCACAGCATCATCTTTCAGGATTTTAAATAGTTCAACTGGAATTCCATCACCTCCACTAGCTTTGTTTGTATTGATGCTTCCTAAGGCCCACTTGACTTCTCATTCCAGGATGTGTAGCTCTAGGTGAGTGATCAAACCATCCTGGTTATCTGGGTCCTAAAGATCTTTTTTGTACATTTCTTCTGTGTATTCTTGCTACCTCTTCTTAATATCTTCTGCTTCTGTCAGGTCCATACCATTTCTGTCCTTTATCGAGCCCATCTTTGCATGAAATGTTCCCTTGGTATCTAATTTTCTTGAAGAGATCTCTAGTCTTTCCCTTTCTTTTGTTTTCCTCTATTTCTTTGTACGGATCCCTGAGGAAGGCTTTCTTATCTCTCCTTCCTATTCTTTGGAATCTGCATTCAAATGGGAATATCTTTCCTTTTCTCCTTTGCTTTTCACTTCTCTTCTTTTCACAGCTATTTGTCAGGCCTCCTCAGACAGCCATTTTACTTTTTTGCATTTCTTTTTCTTAGGGATGGTCTTGATCCCTGTCTCCTGTACAATGTCAGGAACTCCTGTCCATAGTTCATTAGGCACTCTGTCTATCAGATCTAGTCTCTTAAATCTATTTCTCACTTCCACTGTATAATCGTAAGGGATTTGATTTAGGTCATACCTGAATGGTCTAGTGTTTTTCCCCACTTTCTTCAATTTAAGTCTGAATTTGGCAATAAGGAGTTCATGATCTGAGCCACAGTCAGCTCCTGGTCTTGTTTTTGCTGACTGTATAGAGCTTCTCCATCTTTGGCTGCAAAGAATATAATCAATCTGGTTTCGGTGTTGGCCATCTGGTGATGTCCATGTGTAGAATTTTCTCTTGTGTTGTTGGAAGAGGGTGTTTGCTATGAACAGTGCATTCTCTTGGCAAAACCCTGTTAGCCTTTGCCCTGCTTCATTCTGTACTCCAAGGCCAAATTTGCCTATTACTCCAGGTGTTTCTTGACTTCCTACTTTTGCATTCCAGTCCCCATAATGTAAAGGACATCTTTTATCTCTAAAAGGTCTTGTAGGTCTTCATAGAACCGTTCAACTTCTTCAGCATTACTGGTCGGGGTATAGACTTGGATTACCGTGATATTGAATGGTTTGCCTTCGAAATGAACAGGGATTATTCTGTCGTTTTTGAGATTGCATCCAAATACTGCATTTTGGACTCTCTTGTTGACTATGATAGCTACTCCATTTCTTTTGAGGGATTCTTGCCCACAGTTGTAGATAGAATGGTCATCTGAGTTCAAGTCACCCATTCCAGTCCATTTTAGTTTGCTGATTCCTAAAATGTCAATGTTTACATCTCCTTTTTGACCACTTCCAATTTGCCTTGATTCATAGACCTAACATTCCAGGTTCCTATCAGTATTGCTCTTTACAGCATCAGACCTTGCTTCTATCTCCAGTCACATCCACAAATGGGTGTTGTTTCTACTTTGACTCCAGCTCTTCATTCTTTCTGGGGTTATTTCTCCATTGATCTCCAGTAGCATTTTGGGCACCTACTGACCTGGGGAGTTCATCTTTCAGTGTCGTATCTTTTTGTCTTTTCATACTGTTCATGGGAGGCACCCCACTCCAGTACTCTTGCCTGGACAGTCCCGTGGACAGAGGAGCCTGGTAGGCGGCAGTCCATGGTGTCGCTAAGAGTCGGGCACGACTGAGCGACTTCACTTTCACTTTTCACTTGCATGCATTGGAGAAGGAAATGGCAACCCACTCCAGTGTTCTTGCCTGGAGAATACTGGGGACGGGGGTGCCTAGTGGGCTTCCATCTATGGTATCACACAGAGTCGGACACGACTAAAGTGACTTAGTAGCAGCAGCAGCATGGGGTTCTCAAGGCAAGAATACTGAAGTGGTTTGCCATTCCCTTCTCTAGTGGACCACATTTTGTCAGATGGTTTGTTTAATAAATGAAATCTACCAGCTATTATGTATTACAGGGAAAAGATAATCTCTTCCTCACACTGTATATAAAATTAGGAATTCCAAGAAGGTAAAAGTTCACAGGTAAAAGTGAACAGCAAAGCAAATAATAAAAGAAAATATAGAAGAAGAATCCTAATGAGGGCTGAAATAAAGGATTGCTTTTGAAAAATGAAAAAAGAATAATTTATAAATGGAAAAAATTTGATAATGCTGACTACTCTAAAGTTAATGATTTTTAGTACAACAAAAGACAGCATATGCAAAGTAACATGAGATTTTCATTCAAAACCTTTTTGAATATTATGCTGAGTTCTCAAACTTCTCTAGCTCAGACTTTTTAATCTTCATGGGTGACAAAATGCCCAACCCTCAGAACTTTTGACTCATTTCATTTCTAAGTCTTTTTAATATTCTTTTCAGCCAGTCTCTCCCATACCTTTACTTCTAATTTTTTTATAAGACCTATGTAATTTTTTAACAGTCAGTAACCTCTCTCAAAATACTCTCATTTTATTGGATATACCATTGAATCTCTCTTCAACCACTGAGAGCTCTTACTACTTGAATCCTTACATTTACCTGAATTTTCACTTGGGTTCATTTCCTTCCCTATCCAGGCTAAACCCCACAATCTACACATCAGCCACTTTTCCCACTATTCCTAAACACTTTCATATTCACATTCTTCTAACATGTCCACTTGACCCTCCAGTCATGGATCTATGCAGCCAATGATTTCTCTGCCTTTACACTTGGGCTTCTTAGCATTGCTTTAGAACACCAGTTTGCTGACAGAGGTCCATATAGTCAAAGTTAAGGTTTTTCCAGTAGTCATGTACAGATGTGAGAGTTGGACCATAAAGAAGGCTGAGCACCAAAGAACTGATGTTTTTTAATTGTGCTGGGAAAGACTTGAGAGTCTCCTGGACTGCAAGGAGATCAAACCAGTCAATCCTAAAGGAAATCAACCCTTGAATATTCATTGGAAGGACTGATGATGAAGCTGAAGCTCCAGTACTTTGGCCACCTGATGCAAAGAGCTGACTCACTGGAGAAGACCCTAATGCTGGGAAAGATTGAAGGCAATAGAAGAGGGTGGCAAAAGATGAGATGATTAGATAGCATCACTGACTCAGTGGATATGAATTTGCACAAACTCTGGGAGATAGTGAAGGCCAGGGAAGCCTGATATGCTGCAGTCCCATAAGGTCGCAAAAAGTCAGACACGACTTAATGACTGAACAGCAACAGCAGAAGTGATGCTATTCAGTAACATGTAAAATTTTCTCACCCTTACTGCTACTTAGTGATCATTTTAAGTGTCTACCTGTCTTCTTTCTCTCCCATTTCTCCTTCATACTATTTAATACTTCCACAGGTTTTTGTCACATCTATTCAGTCACTACTATCCTCACTCTAAACCAGTGATTTTGATTTTTATCAATAGTGAAGTCCATTTTTTCACATCACTCCCACTTAATATGTACCTGTTCATCTAAAATTATTCTTCCCTTTTTCCTTCTTTCTTAGAGACATATTTCATTCTTTCTAAGGTTAATGCAGTTTACCTTCTGTCTTCTGTGTATCTTCATCTTTTCTTTTTTGGCTCCTTCCCTCTGTGGCTGTTCAACTATGGATACAAGGATCATTCCCACCATTCCTCTAGGTTTTTTCCACTTGCCAGCCCTTTATCCCCAACCCTGTTTATCTCCCAGTCTTTCTTCATCCATATTATGTCCTTTCTCATATTTCTACTAAAACTGTTTACAGTCACCAATGACCTCCTAATAATGCCATAGGCATTGGATGTTTTCCATTCTTACCTTACTTTACTTCCCTCTTAACAGTTGATACTGTTGGTAGCTTCTAGAATGAATGCATTCCTCCCTTTCTCATTTTATGTAACTTAAGATCTACATACTCTACATATCTAAGTCTCACTTCTTTCTCAAAAACCTCCTCTGCTTACCTTTTCCCTCTTGGTTAGTGTCAACATGTATTCTTCATATCTGTGCGAGTGCCCATCTGTAAGACCTTCATCATCTTCTACCTCTAATATTTATAGCCATCTAACTAGAATTCCTATTTCTAATTCATCTTCTGTACTGTCGCCAGAGTGACTTCCTAAAACAAATCTATTCATGCATCATCCCTAGTTAAAAGATTCTCTATGAAACCTTTTGAATAATACACAAAGTCCTTCACAATATCATCTTTGCTTTCCTTTCCAGCTTCATATCTTGCTGCCCTTCCACATAAACTCAGAAGTCCTTGGAAATTAAAGTATGGATATTAAAACTCCAGAGCATGTCCTCCGAGTGACATAAGCTTGCAAACATGACACCTTAAATAGGCAGAATTTTTAAATAGGAATAATATGGTGTTTTCTTTAAGTAACTTTTTGGATCTAAGTAATGCCCTTAACTGCTACATTGATAATTGTAATTTGTAGATTGAAGACTAGAATCATATTTGCCTGAAGTTGAAGCAGGTCATTTGTTACATATTTATATTTCTTAAGTAAAATGGATGAGTGATCATGTTGTATATACTACCAAGCTGTTTTTTTAGATCCAGTATGTGAAAGTATTTCATTTGTACATTAGCTATAGCTTAAATTTTTCTCATGATGTCAGATTCTGTGATCTTTTCTTTCAGAGAAATGTACTTTCAGGAATGTTTTTCTTTTCTAATTAACTTATTTATAATTCCAGGGAAACAGGTAAATAATTTGGTGGATTCATCCAGTCACTTAGTTGGATGTCATGCACAGCGGTGAGCATAAAAGTAGTTTCTGTCATAGAGTATTTGAAAGCTCAAGTTAAAAACAAAGAATTTATTTATGTGGCTAATAAAAAGAGTTTTTTTTCTTATAGAACTGAAGTTTCTGACAAGATTATGGGCACAGATCTTGGGAAAAAATTGGAAGAAGCCACAGTTCCCCTCTCAGTAGAAAGTACAGTTCCAGTTAGCAAGCCATTTGAAAGCCACAGACGTGTGCTCTGTTTTGATAGCACTGCTTCTCCTGTGGCAAATACACAGGGGACAAATCAAAAGTTGGTGTCCCAAAGCAAAGAAAGGAATGACGTTTCATTTTCTAACCTTGACTCACCCATTGTGTCCTCCACCTTAAAACCCCCTTCTAATAATTCTGTCAAAAGAGAGCGGGAGAAACCTTCTGTGCCTAAAATTTTATCTAAATCAGAAACTGCCATTGGCCGACATGCTACCATAAAAGAAACTCAGTCAGAAAAGAAAGTTTCACCAACAGAAACTATACTTGAATCTTTCCATAAAGCAACAGCTAATAAGGAGAACGAACTGTGCAGCGATGTGGAAAGGCAGAAAAATCCAGAAACTTCAAAACTGTCTAATGGGCAGCAAAATGGGGGTGTACGGAATGAGAAAACTGTAACTTCACTTCAAGAGCTGACCAGAAAACAAGGCACATCCTCAAACAGTAAAAATATCTTTTCAGTAGGTGCACCTGTGAAGGATTTGAAACAAGAACAAAGCAGGTCTGCCAGTTCTTTGATTAACCCACTCACCAAACATCCCACAGAAATGTTACAAGATCTTCAGTGGCATAGCCCAGTAAATCGGCTCACAGATGGTACTGATTTACCTATACCCCGAACATCTGTCTCAGGAGCAGGGGAAAAACTTAAAGAAGAACCTACAGATGGTATCAAGGTCCCTTCTAGTAGGCGTTTTGGTGAAGACAGCACACCCAAAGTAATGGTCCCTCCTGTCACGCCAGATTTGCCTGCCTGCAGCCCTGCCAGTGAAACAGGGAGTGAAAACAGTGTGAACATGGCTGCCCATACATTAATGATTCTCTCCAGAGCAGCCATCTCTAGGACTACTTCATCTACTCCTCTAAAAGACAATACCCAGCAATTTAGAGCATCTTCAAGGAGCACCACAAAAAAGCGGAAAATTGAGGAATTAGATGAGCATGAGCGAAACTCCCGCACTTCTAATAAAAATCTTGCGAATTCGTCAATGCCAATGAAAAAGAAGAAAATTAAGGCAAGTTTGAAAGTCTTTCATTTCAAAACCACACGTTGTCCTCCTTTCAGTGCTCAAGTTAAAGGTCTCGCCATTTTTTGCCGTAGCTACTTAACATTTAAGCAAGATAGCTTTGGGTTTTGACTGACAAAATACATTCTCTAGCAGTATCTTTCAGTCCTTGTGGTACTCAGAAGTTAACTAGGTGAAACATTTTCCAAACAATTGCTAAGGCATTTATTTATAAACATCTTCCTTGGGAAAAGGTGTTTTTAGTTTCTGTCATGGTAGGACCCAAGGTTTGGTGGAAAGAGTGACATAACATGAAAAATTGGGAAGCCGCTGTTATTTGTAATTATCAAGTGAAAACTGCTGTACAGCTCCTCCATCTTAGGTTTCTTTCCCATGTCCTGCCATCTCTTCCATAGATTCTTACACATGTTGATATGTTAGAGCAATGTAAAAATTAAATTTACCTGTCTTTAACCATGCTTACCTGAGGAAAGTAATATAGGGTTATCACTGATAAATTAAAAGTCATCTTTCCTCAACCTGTTTAGCCATTTAGTAAGTGGAATATGAATAGAAAGATTTAAAATGTCATAAAGGAAGTATGATATCAAGGAAAAAGTCCTGTTTTCTAAGCCTGGGCTGAATCCTGCATCTCCTGCATATTGGTTCTATTACCATTATTAAGTAGCCTGTAACATCTCTTGAGTCTTAGCTGCATCATTAGACGTGAGGTTACACACATCTTACCCAATGGCTGTGAGACTAAATGTAGTGTTTGTAGAGTGCCTAGAGTATATTAAATATTTGGGACTTGAAAAGTACTTGTTACTCTTAAAATCTTAGTAAAGCTTACTGAGGTTTATGGTTTAGCAATAATGAATACTGTATATAAAAAGCATGTTCTATCTTGTCTCTTTCAACATTCATATACTCTGAATTTGTATGTTTTGTGCTGTAAAATAATGTTGAGGTGCCATTGAAGTATAGTTTATTAAACTTGGATTTATAAAAACTTGTGTCTACCTTTCTGTATAACTAAAATTTTGATGAACTAAACTGTTTTGACAAAAATTTTGTTGGTGTATTAAGTTCTACATGACTTAATAAGAAAGCTAGCTTTTTGACCTTAAGTTTGATATGTTAACTTACTTCTTTTTCTCTTTCTTTTTTTTTTTTGACAGAAAAAGAAGCTACCCAGTTCATTTCCAGCTGGAATGGATGTGGACAAATTTTTGTTATCATTGCATTATGATGAGTAAATATTCTGAACATATAAGAACAGTAGCTATTTAAAACTACGATTCCTTAAACTATGAGTGTAGGGAATGAGATACTGACAGAATCTGAGAGCATGACCTGCACTTTCTTCCATTGTATTGAAATTTCACTTTATTTCTAAATCATGCTGTTTTAAAGCAGCTTCCTAATTTGTAAATAGATGTACCTGGTATTGTGGAAAAAACATTTGCAGAAATGTAAGTAAAGCCAGTCTGCAAAACTGTATAGCTTTAACAATTGCATCTTGTTAATATTGTGTAAATCTTGTTGAAATAGAGGTTAAATCAGCCTGATGTTCTTTTATTTTTTGGTTTCTTATGATCTCTAATTTTGAAACTTATTCATCTGGAAGAGTTGCTCACTTTGAGTGGGAAAATTACACTTTTCCTTATAAATTGCCTTCAGTAATTGTCCTACAAGACATCTGAAGACAACCAGTAATTAGTACAGAAGTGATAAGGAATTCAAATGGTAATAAAGTAACCAGAAATTAACAATTTGAATTTTTTTTCTAGAGTGAATACTTTGCCACTCCTTACAATTATAGTAAAGATTGTATTCCTAAAATTTTACACTTTGTCTCTTCTGGTTGTTCTGGTCTCTTTGTTTTAAGGAGAGAATATTAATGCCATTTGAACACCTTTCGAGTGTTCTGATCTTCATTTATAACTTGTAAGATCTTTTACAAAACTTTAAGCATTTAGACTATTGAGCCATAAAAAGTTTGGTTATGTAGTAGTTGACATTTCTTGGTATGTATATACTTCTCCCCTGAATACTGGGGATTTAAAGAATTGCACTAATTCATGAACTTTTTACATAGTAGTGACCAATGCACATTTAATTTAAATCTTGTGTTCTATGTTAAAGCTTGTATGGAGGATTATCTTTCTGTTGTCCTTTTAGAAAGCCATGTCCATCATAAGATGTAAAAAGAGAAATCATAGTTTTCTATTTTAATTTAGTTTCTCCTAAAATGGTCTGTGTTACACTTGGATAGAGGATGCTATCTCTGTACCCCTTAAAATGTTATAGAGTTATTCTCAAAAGGTCCTTAAGGAGGATGAAAGAGGTGCCTTCTGTATGTTAGACTCACACACATCAGTCAAGTTGAAGAATTGGTTTAAACCTTTAAATGACTATAGAAATGATAATTCATACTTGACCAATTGTGCCTAGATATTAAAGTATGTTCTTTTAAGTGCTTTCTGTTTTGTTTAATATCAGTATATGCAAGATTTTTTCTGAAAATGTCTATATTTATGAGTCATTTTCCTCAACCATTTTTTTTTTTTTTTAAATACTGGGCCTTTAACATTCTACTTTAACACAACAGTTTTCAATGTGGAAATCACGTCTTACTTGCCGAACCTTACTGCAGAAATTTGTGTTGTAATAAATTTTTATGATGTGGAAGTGGTCTGTTTCTAAAGAACCAGGGATAGTTAATACAGTTAATGTTTATTTAACTCAGCTTGATACTGTACAGTTAGGTTTGAATAAATATTTTCATTAACTTCAAAAGTTTGAATTCTTTGATATTGGCAGTTATTCTAGTTTAGATACTTTTAATAAATCCCTTTGCAAGTCAGTTCTTGTTTTCGGAAGTTTACATAATGCTGAAGATTATAAATTTTCTTCTCATTCAATTAATTTGTATATGCTAAGTACTAAGAATTCACATACTAGTAAAATAAACTCGCTTTCTTCAGGATTCTTTGTTCAGTTGGCCAGGATCTACTAGATATAGTACGAAGACAGTCTGTATTCAGAGCTTTCATTTATGTTCAAGAACAAAACCGTAATTCCCATTTTATCTTAAAAGTCAAAATGTACTAGACTTAATTTCTGTACCTGGTACTCTATTTTTGCAACTACGTGTAAGGATCCACTGTTTCTTTGGACATTACTTAATGTACTCGGTTGTATGTCAAATCTTAGAAGTCTTGTGATTAAAATATTTGATTGTTTTAGCCCTGTATATTGTTAGAAGCATTTAGTAAGTATGTTGAAATTGTACATAAGTTAACATCCATCAGCATTCAGCCAAAGGCTAGATGTCATGACTAGTAGGAAGACCAAGGTTAAGCTTTGATCAAAGGAGTAATTTTAAACGCATGTTGCCATATATTCTATGTTCATCATTTTTCAAGCCACCGTCTCTCAGTCTCAGACTTAACTTACTGAAATTATTTATCAATTTTTTGTGTGTGTTTCCTAAATTTTTTTTTTCCATTTATTTTTATTAGTTGGAGGCTAATTACTTTACAACATTGCAGTGGTTTTTGTCATACATTGAAATGAATTAGCCATGGATTTACATGTATTCCCCATCCCGGTCCCCCCTCCCACCTCCCTCTCCACCCCATCCCTCTGGGTCTTCCCAGTGCACCAGGCCCGAGCACTTGTCTCATGCATCTGTATCAAATTTTGACTTTAGTATTATGCTTTCTCTTTTAATAGAATTTCCTCTTTTTTTAAGTTGGATAACATTTTTGCATACTTTCTGGTCTTTTTGTCCTAAATTGTTTTTTCTACATAATTGAACTTAAAACCGTAAATATAACTTCCTAGTTTTTTCTTTTACTTCAAATAATATCAAGCATTATCCAGTTTTTAGCTCTTATTAAAAAATAACTAGCAGTGAACATGTTTGTAAATAAATATTTATGTGTTCGATTATTTACTTAGGCAGTATTTTAGAGAATGGAATTACCAAGTCAAAAAGTTAGTGTACATCTTTTCAAGGATCTCAGTACATTTTGCCAAATTCTTTAGAAAATTTACTTGTTTATAATCCTGCCAGGAAATTGTCATTTCTTCCATAGCATATGCGTATCCCTTACCACAGGTTAATATTCAACTGTATCATTGGTTTCTGTTGACTTATTTCTTGATTTGTTAAAATTAGGATAAGCTCTTCATCTTTATGTAATTTGTTTTGATACCTGATATGAAGAGAGAATCAGTACATTTTTCCCTAAATATTTAACACTTGACTCATAAAACTGCTTAAAATAAGGTTTCTCTCCTCACACACATGTATAGTGCCTCTTATCCTACATGGATTCCCAGTCTCTTTTTATTCACAATTCTAAAATCCAAAATGTTCTGACAACTAATTTTTTCCCTTAAGTTTAGCATCAAAATTCATTTCAAGGCAAAACCTGACCTGGTTTGACCTGAGGCTACATGAATCTTTATCTCTTTTGATATGAATATTCATATTTTTCTGGAAAAATAGTGATGTGCTTAATTAGTACACTGTTTCAGACTCAGCTGAAGGTGTTTGATACATATGTTGTGTTACTTCTAAAAAATCCTAGATGTTCTGAATACTGATATGAGCTAACCAAAGAGTTATAAAATCAAAGGTTTTATACCTATATTAATAAATTTATACACATATAAATACAGTATATAGTATATTGTATAGATTATTTTGTGCCATTGATGAAAGCATTATAGCTTTGTGTCTATTGTAACTATTCTGATTTTTTTCAAGAATTCATCATTTATGCTTCCAGCCTAACTTTAGAATCACTTGTATTTTTTCCAAGTTAAAATGATACTTGAATATTCATTTGAAGTACATTAACCCTATGAGTTAACTGACACTGAAAGAAGCTAATAGTAATATGGTATATATCCATAATTTTGTAGTTATCCCTATTCTCATAAAGTTCTTGTTAAACTGGATATTATGGTGTTTTTTTCTATTTTTAGGGAACTCTGCATTCCAGTATTTTAACTAAGTAAAATTTTTATGGAAACATAAAAGGGAAAAAGTGCATAAAATATTGTTACATAGTTCAGTGAATTTTCTAAAAGTACACAAATTCACACAAATCACCAAGATCAAGACTAGAACATTATCAGTACCCTAGAATCCCCCCATATTCCTTCCAGTAACTAACTGCTAACTCCACAGGTGATTATTCTGACCTCTAAAACTTTAGTTTCAGCTCTTCTTAAATTTGCATAAATAGATTTATCAGGATATACTGAGTTTTACTGCTTTTGCACAAAATCAAGATCCATTCATGTTGTATCTAATTAGGTTGTCATCATTGTAGTGATTTTTCACTGTATTTATCCACATTGTACTGTACCACCATCACTCTCTTGTGTATTTGAACATTTGGATTATTTCCAGTTTGGAGCTGTTATGAATAGTACTGCTGTGAATAGCCTTGTACATGTTTTTTGATGAATGTATTACACAGTCTCTTGTGTGTACATATATGTTTAGGAGGGGAGTGTTGGGTCATATGGTTGCATGTGTCTAAACTTACTCAAGAGTCTTCAGTCTGCAGAGTGACTGTACCAAATTATATGACTGTCAGCAGCGTAAGGAGAGCTCCAGTTGTCAGTCACTATCGATACAAGTTCTTTTTCAGATGGACATCTAAAGTCTGAATATTTTGCCATTTTTTCTTTTTTTATTCAACCTTTTATATTTCGATAAATTATCCATCTATAATGGATTTCCCATTTGAATATCCACTTAACACACTACCATTTGTTGAGAGGGTTCCCAGGTGGCGCAGTGGTAAAGAATCCACCTACTGATGCAGGAGACATGGGTTCGATCCCTGGGTCAGGAAGATGCCCTGGAGAAGGAAATGTCAACCCATACCAGTATTCTTGCCTGGGAAATCCCAAGGACAGAGAGGCCTGGTGGGATACAGTTCATGGGGTGGCAGAGAGACAGGATTTAGAACAACACAGCATATACAGCACATTTACTGAGAAAGATTATCCTTTCCCAAATATGTTGTACTGTTATGCTGTCATGAGCTAGTAAACTGAGTGTCTTTGGATTTGCTTCTGTACTCCCAGTCTTTTGATTGGTCTGTTTTTGTAAAGATACACCTTAAGTACTATAGAAAGTCTATTTTGTGTTTTATTTTCCATTTGGACCCCTTATGGAATGGACTTTTATCGGAATGGACTTTTATTGAGCTAATGATGTTGCTGA